GCTAGAAAGGATTGGTAAGAAATATTCAAAGTCATGAAAAACAGGGAGCTACAGCCAAGATTGCTCTACCTAGCAGATATCATTTAGCTTCAAAGGGCAGACAAATAGCTTCCCAGACAAGAAAAAAACTAAAGTAGTTCATTACCACCAAATGATTATTATGTGAAATGTTAACGGGATTTATTTAAGAAAAAGAAAATCAAAACTATGAACAATAAAATGACAAAAAACAAATCTATCAACAATTGAACCTAAAAAACAAACTAAGTAAACCAGAAGAACAGAGACAGTTTTATGGATATGGAGAGTGTTTTGATGGTTGCAGATGGAAGGGTTTGTGGAGGAATAGGTGAAGAGGTGAGGGGATTAAGAAGTACAATTAGATAGTTACAGAACAGCCATGGGGATATAAAGTACAGTATAGGAAATGGAGTAGGCAAAGAACTTATATGTATGGCCCATGGATATTACCAATGGTATGGGGATTGCCTGTGTGGGTGAGCAGTGCTGTGTGGATCAGGAAAAATTGGGACATCTGTAATAATGTAACAATAAAATGTAATTAAAAAAAAAAACCTCCAAAAAACCCCCCAACATTGTACTTAGGACAATGATGCCTTAGTCCCCTTCACAGTAGGCACCTTGGGTCCTCACCCAGTTCTCCCAGTTGCCATCAGCTACTGCATCATATTTTCCTGAATCTCATCAGTGGTCTGAAATCTCCCATTCAAAGGTAATTTTAGTTTTGGGAATAGCCAGAAGCTGCAGAATGCCAAAAACTTGGCCGTGGGCGTCTGAGTCACCTGGGTCATTTGATGTTTCCAAAAAAAACCTCTACAAAAGATGAGAGTGGGCTCATTGTCTTGAAGCTGCCAATCACCAATTGCCTATAGCTGCAGCCTTCTGAATCATCTGAATAGGTTCTGTGGAGGAACATTCATATTTAACACAAGATTTGATGCACATTTGTTGTTCTACTCACTCATTTGGATTGCCATGGCCACACAGTACTTGTACTCAGTCAGTGGTGTCTACCACCTCCACTGAGTAGTACAGTGAAGTCATCATTGTTCATGCTTGCACATTCCAGATCACTCTCCTTGACTGCCAGGTTACAGTGATGTTGCACAAACTGCTTTCATTATATTAACAATGGCTGGACTTTTTCTGGACATAGCTCGTATATTCACATAATTAATTTATGTGCACACACATACAAACCTATTTAGACACACACATAATAGAATGCTACATCTCTCAAATAAAGAATATACATTCTTTGAATATTTATAGAGCATATACAAATTCAGTCATGCATTTGGCCACAAAAACATCTCTTACAAATTTAAGTCAAAAATACCAAAATGGACAAAGGCTATGAATAGACGATGTAGAGAATAGCATGTCTGTATAGCCAGCAAATGCATGAAAAGATGTTAAATTTACTAATAATTAGAAAAATACAAATTAATGAGATGGCCCTTTTTACCCATAAGATCTTATAACGTTTAAGAGTAAATAAATCTTAAAAACATAATGCTGAGTGAAAAACTAAAGAAATCTATGACAAATATAAAGTAGAACCACATGCCTACAACAATCATATTTAAGGGACAAATACAACAGAAGGAAACATATTGACATTAGAATGGTTTCCCAGAGTGATGGGGGATGGAATCAGGAAATGGAGATAATGGAAATAAATGGTAAAATAAATAAAATGAATAGTAATATCTACTGCTTGAGGGTTGTAGAGGAAAAGGAACCCTTTAATACTGATGATAGAAATATGAAGTGTTACAGGCTTCCTGGAAAACAATCTAACAATATATGTTAACATATCCTAGAAACAGTGGAATGCTTATCAATAGGGGAATGACTATATAAATCATCCACACTGAAATATTAGGTAACCATTAAAGGAGAATCAAAACTGTACTTAATGCTTTAAAGATGCTTTAAAGATGCTCATTTTATTAATAAGATATTGAATAAAATAAGGTGTAGAAATATAAGTATAGAATGCTGCCATTTTAGTAAACTGTGATCTTCCTTTCACCCTTCAAATGTATATGTATGTGTTATCTGTACAAGCTCAGAAAAATATGAAAAAACATACACTAAGTTAGCTTGAAGAATTAAACTAATGAAAGGGGGAAGGATAAGAGGGAATGGCAGAGGCAACCGAAAGAGGACAAGAAAAAAATAAAGATTACACCAAAAAAAATTCAAGTGAATGACCACATTTATTTATGACTGTAAAATTATGTATTTAGGCAGGTATTTGTAAGCACAAATTAAATAAATTTTATATTTGTTTTTTTTTAAATATGAGTTTCTCAGATAGGTGGAATTTCAGGCTACATATGCATATGTTGGTCATATGGATCTTGGTTGTTGCCTGCTCTGATAACTCTCCATTAAACATATACGTACAGTCCTGGCACTAAGTTTGTTTTCTCTGTGATTGCTATTTGTGGAATCTTGGTGCTTATAGTTCTCTTTAGTGATTGCATTACCTCTATAACTTTTTAAAAAAAATAGTGAAAACAAATTTGGTACATTAACAGATAAAACGTCAATTAGTAGGCCCTAGTTTAATGCTTTCTTAGGAATATGGGACTGAAATCTTGTGTCTTGAAAATTAGAGAGATTGACTTAGAAAGAACACTTTTGGGGGGGGGTCATTGAGAATGCATTTTAGTAAATGAGGTATGCTGAGAAAAAAAGTTAAATTTTTTTTAACTTTTACATCAGTTAAAAATCACTTTTAAAAGGAAGAACAATTGTCCATTACTAAGCACAGACTAAGCTTTGCATTTTATGAAGCTTAAGTTGTAAATATTATTATAAAATGTACACCCTCTGCAACAATGTAATGTCTATGTGTGGAGCCAGGTGAGTACTGGAAATATTAGGGAAAACACTTTGTGAAGTATATGATTATCTAACCACCATGTTATACACCTGAAATTAATACAAAATGGTATTAAATGTAAACCGTAGCTGAAAAATAAAATTTTAAAAAATGTACTTTTTGCCCTGGCTGGTGTAGCTCAGTGGATTGAGCATTGGCCTGTGAAGCAAAGGGTCATCAGTTTGATGCCCAGTCAGAGCACATGCCGGGGTTGCAGGCCAGGTCCCCAGTCAGGGACACATGAGAGGCAACCACATATTGATGTTTCTCTCCCACTCTTTCTTCTTCTGGTCCCCTCTCTCTAAAAATAAATAAATAAAATAAAATATTTTTTAATGTACTCTTTTATGTATGGACTAAGTACTAATAAAAAGCATTAAATAAATTTTAAGTTAGTACTGGTACAGTATCATTTACTATATTATTATACGTTTGTATTTCAGGTGCCTTTGGTACTTTACGAAGAATATTTCCAGATATATTGCAGACATTAAGCTTTTGCCTCCTGGCATAAAAGATAGACTGATAAGAATAATGAGTGTGAAGGGGCAGATAACAGATTCAAATATAAATGAGGTAAGAGTATGTACAACTATAAAGTAAGCATATTACATTTTACTATTTGGATATGGTTTCAGGTTTCTCGAGCAATGATATATAGTCAGATTAGTAATAATTTTAAAATGTAATAAAGCTTCAGGGTTTATTTTCTACAGATAACCAAAATGTTCATGTGGAATAATTCCTAAAAAATCTTCCCCTACCATTATTTCAGTTACTTCCATTGTCTTCATAGGACTAGCACCCTTGATCTCCACAATTTCAAAAAGTTTTAAACTTCCTAATCAATTATACCTCAATAAAGCTGGAAGAGCTAAAAAAAAAAATTAAATGCAAGGTTAATAAACCTAAAAAAGGTTTAGGCACCAAAAAAAGACCTATGGTAAAAAATTTATGTTACATTGTGACTCTAGTACACAAACCACACTTAGCTGAAACAATACAGCAGGTCCTGGAATAACAGCATTTTTTTAAAACATTGATGAGATGCCACAGGAACTTAACTCTTGTTTATATCAAGGAGCCTATGGTAAAATTGATTTCAGTAGATGTCATTTGGCTTAAAGTCACAGAACCTATCAATGGCATTAAGTGAGGACTCACTGTACTATATGCAGTACACTTGGATATTCTCTATTTTATTCTCTTATGTCGTATTTCCTTTTAAAATATTGATCACAGCCTACTAAGTTGATTTTATCCATTTATGGATAACAGTCAGCAGTTTTAAAAAATCACCTTTTTAAACTCTTCTCATTCCTCTTTTGGATACCTAAATCCTACTAATTTATACTTACTCCCTCCCTACAACTAAGCTAAAATTAGCTACTCTTTAAGGCAGTAAATATAGTTAGCGTCTCCAACATGAATTAAAATCCTAGCTTTGCCACTCTTTCTGACATTTAACCTCAGGTTGCTTTGTTTTGTTTTGTCTTTTTAAGAGACCTTTACTTTTATTATTTTTTTTAAAGAGGAAGAGAAGAAAGAAGGCAAAGACTCAAAACAGGAAAGATACTGAAAAAAAGTTCCCCTATCCCACTCATATCCCCAAGACAGTTTTCCAAAGTCCCTTGTGTGTGTGCGTGCACACGTGTGCATGCTGTGTGTGTGTATGTGGGGAGGACAGGCCTCTCACACCATGAGAGCATCCAAGGGCAGATCCAGGTGCTGTTGTCACTGTCTGTGCCACCTGCTGTCATGTAAGGTGTATGTGTGTATGTGTTGTATGTGACAGTCTTGGGGTTGTAGCTGTCGTCACTGTCTACAGAGACCAGAACTACAGCAGTTTATCCCATCTGTGGGATATGTTCCAAGTTTCCTGGTGGATTTCTGAAACTGTGGATGGTACTGAACTCTATATATACCATCTTTTTTTCCTATATGTACATACTTTTTCACTTAAAGGAAGCACTTTACAGCTTCTCTTTGTTATATCTGAATTGCCAGCATCACTACTTTTGTGCTTTGGGACCATTGTTATATAAAATATGGGTACTTGAGCACAAGCACCTCAAACCTGTGACAGTCACTCTGATCACTGATATGGCTATGAAGTGACTAATATGTAGATAGTGTGTAAGTGTGGATACACTTGACAAAGGGATGATTCACAAGCGGGACAGGATGGAGTGGGGCAGTACAAGGTGTCATCATGCTACTTAGGATGGTGCACAATTTAAAACTTACTGATTCTTCATTTCTAGAATTTTCTATTTAATATTGTTAGACCGTGGTTGACCACAAGTACCTGAAACTATGGAAAATGAAATCACTGATAAGGGGGGACTACTGTACTAATTGCTGTTTTTGCCACACATTCTCCCCAAAGCCTGTGATCAAGAGAAAGCAAACTCTGATGATGACACTCCACTGTCTGACCATCCCTGTGAGTTCACATTGTACTTGTACTTCAGTGGATCTTAGCATTTCTTCTAGCATTAACCTTTAATGCTTATTTTCTTCATGTTAGCTTGCATTTGAACACAGATATTTTAGTGTTGTAGACTGCTTAGTTCTGTGGAGGTAGAATAATATCCAGATTCTTACTCTTGATGGTTCCATGGATATGTATAATTTACGTGTGGCTCCCAGATGAAACATTATGACACTGCAGAAAACTGGTGAGTTTCTTCTCTACTGTCCTCATTTCATTCCATCTCTTTAGTCCAGCAATTTTCAATTTCTTTCGTTTCATGGCACACATAAAGTACTGAAATTCTGCAACACAACAAAAACAGTCTTTGCCAATCTGACAAAAGATACGTATAATTTTGATTCATTCAGAGTGGACAGTTATTCAGTTGACTATTGTCATTTTTAAATTTGACAATGTAAGGAAAAGAAGTCAATATCCTTGAATAAATAATCAGGTATTGCAGGTTTTAAAAATTCTTATGTCATACCAGTGTGCCTCTTGCAGCACACCAGTTAAAAGAGGTGATTTAGTCTATATTCCAGTGACTTAAATTTTTGTTCTATGGCAATCTTTAATATTCATTTAAACCTAATTTTACTTGAATAAAATTTGAATAAAAATTGGCTAAGGTGATAAATGAGATAGAAAAAACAAAAGCATGATTTTCCTTGGTGCTCTCTCTCTAATCCCCATCCTTGCAAGAGCCCTTCTTATGAAACCAAGTGTGACTTCTGTTGCAAAGTTGCACATATCTTTGGGTGTCTCTTTTTGAAATATTTCCTAAATCTTTCTATAGTTTCTGGATGGAGAAGACCTTTTTTAACATGGCACTGTGAAAGAAAAAGAGCAATATGGAGTTGGTATTGTCAAGACAGCAATCTAAAATGGAGCAGGAGGCCCTCAGGAAGCTGAGCTAACACAACCACTCCATATGAAGTTGAACTTTGGAAGTAGGCTAAATCACAAATGACTACATCCTGCTATACAGTTTCTGGAACTGGCTCTGCATCACTGAACTCTCTCTTAAAAAATAAAATTTTCAGCCCTGGCTGGTGTAGCTCAGTGGATTGAGTGCGGGCCTGCGAACCAGAGTATCGCGGTTCGATTCCCAGTCAGGGCACATGCCTGGGTTGCAGGCCAGTTCCCAGCAGGGAGCGCATGAGAGGCAACCATACATTGATATTTCTCTCCCACTCTTTCTCCTTCCCTTCCCCTCTATCGAAAAAATTAATAAATAAAATTTAAAAAAATTAAAAAAATTTTTTTCACCTGTCGAAAGACAAAGCAACAATCACATACAGATAGCACAGTGTAAGTCTGCTTCACAGCACCAATCACAGCTCTTAGAACAACTTGTGTGACCCCTCTTATAGTGCCCCTCTTTCTGTCTTTATAAAAGCTCTCTTTCCCCCTTAGAACACAGTTGGATTTCTACCCAAATTTGTAGCATCAGAACTGTGGTTCCTAAGGATCCCAAATAAAATTTTTTGCTTTGCAGTTCTTGGTCAAAATTAATTGACAACACCAAAGTTAGAAACCAAGAAGATAAAAGATTGATGTATTTGATTACATCAAAATATGAGCTTCTTTATGGCAAAAAGAAAAAATAAGAAGCAAAGTCAAGTAATTAGGAAAAATATATGCAATACATATGAAATTCTGTGGGTTTTTTTCTTAACAATATAAAGAATCCCCACAAACCAATAAGAAAAAACAAAACAAACAAATACTAAAATAAAAGAATCAGTAAATAATCAAAGTAAAGAAATATAAGTCACCAATAACATGTGTCTCAATAAAAGGATATTTAACCTTATTAGAAATAAAAGTCAGTATCATGATACAGAGAGTGTTTTGATGGTTGCCAGATGGGATTGGGCTGTGGGGAACTGGGCGAAGAGGTGAGGGGATTAAGAAGTACAAATAGGTAGTTACAGAACAGCCATGGGGATGTAAAGTACAGTATAGGAAATGGAGTAGCCAAAGAACTTACACACATGACCCATGGACATGAACAGTGGTGTGGGGATAGCCTGAGGGAGTGGGCGATGCTGGATGGAAGGGGCAAAAAGGGGGAAAATTAGGACAATTGTAACAGCATAATCAATAAAATATAATTTAAAAAGAAATAGAAGTCACAGTTTGTCGTTTAATTTTGCAAAGACTTAAAAAATAGGAATACCCGGTGTTGGCAATGGTGTGGGGGACTGTCACTTTTATCCTCTGCTGATGAGAGTGGATATTAATAAAAGCCTTTTTTAGTAGGACAGTTTGGTACCATCAAAAGTCCTGAAATTTTACTTACCATTGACTGAACAATTTTACTTCTGGTATTTTTTCCACTTTTATTGAGTTGTGATTGACATGACATTGTGTAAGTTTAAAGTATTAAAACACACATGATTATTTGATACTCATGTATTGCAAAATGATTACCACAATAGGGTTATTTAGCATCTCTGTCACCTCACATAATTATCATTTACTTTGATACTAATCTCAAGAAAATAATTGGGAAAGCATACAAGCATGGTCATGATATGATATGTCATTTATGGTAATATAAAAATAGTTGACAGTTATATACATCATATACTATAATAAACAAGGTAACTTTATTTCTAACAAAATATTATCCTTGTTTAATAATGACAATAGTGGGGCACAAAAAACCCAGAGTTTTGTCATACTCATAGTGGGTTTTTAAAAATTTTTTCATACTGTTAAACTCAGTCTGCTTCCAGAGTACACATTCTTAATCACTGTACCATATTTCCTCCTAGATCAGCCTAAATGTTCAATGTAAGTGTTTGCCAGTGTAAGGTGCATTTAATAAGTTACGGAATAGTATGCAACCACAATTATTTTTGTAAAATTTGCTCCTAAGTATGTGTGTATGTGTGTGTGTGTATGATCTCCTTTTTCTTCAGAAGACTTTTTTCATTCAAAAAACATCAAAACATGCTATGTTTTTCTTTGGGTATGTGTATTATGAGTGATTAAAAGAGTAGCCTTTGAAATTAGGCTACTGATTTCAGAGACCTGGTTTCCATACCCAGCTCTGCTCCTTTTTTGGTTGTGTAGTTTGTGTTGCTCTTTCAACTCAACTTGGGCATCCTCAACTGGAGTTGAGGATGCATCAACTCACTCATTAAAAAAATGACAATGGCCAGCCTCTCAAGGGTGTGTGTATGTGAGAGAGAAAGGGCAAGAGAAAAAATATTAAATGACAACGTATACAGCATACTTAGTACCCTTCCTGCTAAGTACCCAGTAAGTAGAAATAGTTATTTCTACATTTGTATAACTTTTCTAAATTGAAAAGGGCCAGGTAGTTCCAATGGTTAGAATGTCATCTTAATATGCCAAGATTGTGGGTTCAGTCTCTGGACAGGACATATACAAGAATCAACAAATTAATGCATAAATAAGAGGAATAACAAACTGATCTCTCTCTCTCCCCCTTCCTCCCACCCTTCTTCCTACCTTCCTTTATCTCTCCCCCTTCTTCTATTTCTCTAAAAATTAACAAATTAAAATTTTAATATAAATAAATTGGGCGAATGTTTCACAATAACAATGCATTACTCTTATATTCAGAGAAGTCATTTTTCTATTTTGGAAAAAAAAGAGAAAAATACTGTCAGAGAGCTCAGAATGCTTTAAAACTGATCCGCTATTTGTTGCCCTCAAGTGAGTATTCAGTATTACTAGGTTGGTTTGTACTAGGTCCCAAAAATAAGAATGAAAGAGGTAAATGATCAGCAATGCTACTACTCTATAAGTATTTGGTATATACAAGGCACATAGCTAGAATTTCTAATAATAGACAGGAACTACTTACTGGGACAGAAGAAGCACCTCCACCACACTGCTTCTGCTTCCCAGGTCCAGTGGGACTTTACTCTGTACCCAGCCGTGGGTTCTCAGCAGTGCTATTTGTTCCATTAAAGACATTAGAAGCATTAGAAGGTACATCTCCATTGGGAAATAGGCTTAGTTTTATCACTTTATGTTATCTGTCTCCATACAGACATGCTTCTATATTTTTGCTGTATTTTCTATCCATCAGTTGTCTGTTATGACCACCAAATCATTTATATTTATAGGAAAAACTAGTTTTTCAAATCATATATTTATTACAGATTTTACATCCTGAAGTCCAAACTCTATATCTGCAGACCTGTGATATTTCGGATACTGCTCTCCTGCACCTGTGTAACTGCAAAAAACTGAAGGAATTAAATTTAAATTCCTCAAAAGAAAACAGGGTTTCTATAACCTCAAAAGGTATGTTTGTTATGAATTGGTAGATTACTATTCACCATCTGGTATAATTTAGGAGAAAAAACGGGGAAAATATGTCAAAAGAAAGTATGAAGATGTCAAAGAAGTAGAAACTATAATTATCAACAAAAATATTAAAACTAAGATAAAGAATCTAAATTAGCTTTCTTGCTTATAAACAGTGCTGACAGTTAAGAAATACACTGGGTAAGTTGCTACCCTGTGTTTTAAACATGTATTCAAAATAAACATGGATAGATACCTCTATATTTTAAATGTTTTGCCTGACACAAGGGAACAAGAAATAACTAGTTCACACTTTGTTAAGGCTTTTGGGATCTAACATTAAAACAGAAAGTTAAGTTATCATCATATTAAATTTACCAGGCACTCTCCTATCAGTCTGCACAATGCATAGTTTTTAAACACAGCCAGACAAGTGCATTTTTCAGTGTCATTAATATGTGAATGGTTGGATTTCTACCTTTGTTTCAAAATAGGATTTTTAAAAACTTTTTCTTCAGTATAAGAAAGAAGGACTTATTTAGCTAATTTCTGGAAATTTTTGTGGATCAGCTATATTTTATAATCATCTTGGTTAACAAGTTAGGATTTTCACAATATTGCAAAGAATTGTAAGTTTTTAAATGCTTACACAAATAATGACTCACTAGAAAGAACTTGTTATGTTCAAAGATGAATTTTTAAAAAGCTCTCTCTTAAGCTATGAAACAAGAATTACCTACACATAAATTTACTGTCTTCAAATTTTGTGTATTTTGTCCATAAAGGTATCTTTTCACAATAGACTAAAGGGCGTAGAATCCTGAAGTACAGTTTTATTTATGTAGCATTTTCTCATGTACCAGTCTCCCAGTGTGCATTTGTTTTGGTTTAATTTGATTTAAGGACTTCTTCCTTCTTGACCCTCAGTAAGATTGGTCCAGGGTAGCTCCGAAGGAGCATGGCGGTAGAAAGGGCAGAGTGAAGAAGGGAAGAGAGAGTTCAGAGACAGGGATGATTCCTGAGGATAAGCTTGGGAGCCTTACTTAAGACATTTGGGCAATTTAGCTTGGATTTTTCTTCAGAGGTAACAAGAAAATTGAATTTATTACTTTAAAACTTCTGTTTTAACACAAAGGAGATTCGTTTACTATTTAATTACCTAATATGGTTCTGAATGACTTGGCTATTTCCTAAAAGCAAACCTTCTCTCAACTCATAAACAACACAGGCTGACTATTAGTGGCAGTTATTCTCAAAAATATACTACAGATTGTCTAGAGAATTCCTGAAACATTCCAAAGACTTTTAAATAATTACAGCATCACTGGAAAATAAGTATATTCTCATAAATGGACTACTTTGAAAAGGACCATCATACAAGTAAATATATCAGTACTAGTGATCACTAAAATGAAAATCAGTCACATTTCTCATATATATACATTTATAGCTCATTGATGTGTAATTGTGTTTGATGTAATTGATATAATTGTGTTTTCCTCCAGGAATAAAAGCTGTGGCTTCATCTTGCTCATACCTTTATGAGGCTCGTCTGAAAAGATGCTGCAATCTTACTGATGAAGGAGTCCTTGCCCTTGCACGCAATTGCCGTCTGCTAAAGATTATCGATTTAGGTGGCTGCTCACGCATTACTGATGTGTCCTTACATGCATTAGGAGAAAACTGCTTATTTTTGCAATATGTTGGTATTTCAGCTACTCAGGTAAATGGAATATAGACTTGAAATATAGAGGTTGTATGTGTTTGCCCAATGTATTTTCATTGACTCTTTAGAAGAACATGATTACTTTTATTGAAATTGTTGATTATTTCATGCATCGGTGGTTAGATAATTGCAATATAATTTGGCACATTCTGCTCAATTTTTTTAAGTAAGGGTGGAAGGTATATATGGCTAAAACACATATTCATTGCGTGAGAGGTGATAAAGCTATATGTAAATTACTAATAATACTTAGAAAAATTTACTTCCGTCATCTCCATTTATGTACTGTGCTGCTTTTCCCCTTTGCTTAGGTGTCTGACAGTGGTGTGGTTGCGCTTGTCAGTGGACCCTGTGCCAAGAAGTTAGAGGTAATTTACAGATCTCTATAAAGATGATGCTAACTAAATTTTTGTATTATCCTCAGAAATTATATTTTAAACCTAGCAGACAGCCAATGCCTTTTTATCAATTAAGTATTTCCATAGATTTTTTGTCTCTACCTCTTTATTCCCAGAGTAAATAAAAACTGGTAAAGTAGGAGATAAAATATGCTTTAAAATAAAAACCCATTTTACTTTCAATGAAAGTTCTTATTTTCCAAAAGTTTTAGCTTCAAACATATTTAAGGGTAGTCTTATTTTGGATGAAGACTGAAAATGTATCAATGTAAAGTGATGTTCTTGAGTTTTTATGTCTGATTGATATTTTCTACCAGGACTACTTATTCCCTTGTCATTATAGTTTCTGGATCTATGAAGGGATCCTTAAAGGATACCACTATGGCATTAAAGTTATTTTTAGCTGAAGATTTTTGAGAATCACCCCATGAAAAAAGAAGCTTTGTCTTAACTACAATGCTTGCCCCATCTACCTAAAAGCAGAGCCTTCCAAAAGAATTCACTTGCCATCAAATCCCCTCCAAGGAAGACTCCCCATACAGCAGACATCACTCCTGTCACTGGAGAAGTCAGATGAGAAATCACATAAACAAAAATTGACATAAGACTCCCATACCCCCATGTACTCTCCTAAAAGCCCATTTTATCTTTCTCAAAGTCATTTTTCTCGAAGTCTCCTTTACCTCCATCCCTTTTACCTATCAAGATTGTATATAAACTCTAAATTCTAGCCATTTTTGGAGCCATTTTCTCTGTAAGCATGTAGGCAAATACACTTTGTCTTTTTTTTCCCCCTTGCTTATCTATCTTTTGTCAGTTTGATTTGCAGGCCTCCAAGGACAGAACCTAAGAGGATAAAGAAAAGGTTTCTCCCCAATAGCTACAGTGTATAACCATTTAAAAAGATCTTAGATTAGTGTTCAGTCTTTAGATTCAATAATGTTTCAAAATATATTTATATCCCTGGCCAGGTAGCTCAGTTGGTTTGAGCATTGTCTGGATGCACCAAGGTTGTGGGTTTGATGCCCACTCTGGGGCACATACAGCCAATGAGTGCATAAATAAAAGCAATAAATTGACATTTCTCCCTCTCCCCCAATCCAAGTCAATTAAAAATATGTACATTTGAGAAGCCTTTTATCCTGTGATTTGGGGTTCTTCTTTCCCAGTTTATAGTCTTTTTGGAATGCATTTTCTCATTTTTTAAGTTCTCATTAGAGGATATGTTTTTACTGATTTTAGAGAAAGAGGAAGGGAGGGACAGAGAGATAATACCGATGTGAGAGGAACACAGATCGGTTGCCTCCCCTATGTGCCTGCAACCTTCTGGTTTTCCTGGTGACACTCCACCTACTGGAGCCACCCAGCCAGGCCTGTAGTGTTGTTTGGGTTTTTTCACTCTTATGTTTAATGTTTCTGTGCTTGTCAACAATAAGTCACACCAGATTCTATTTGGAAGTAAACATGCTATAAATGAATTGTAAATATTAATAATGAGTATTATAATAGAATGGCAGTGATATGTTTTTGCCAAATATTTCCCTTTGAGTTGAGGCCCAAAGAGATTATTTTTTTGTAATATTAAATATATCTGCATCCTGCTTGTATGTGTCTGTGTGTGTATAAAAATAGAATATATTTATTTTTAAAAACCTTTTGATTAAGAAATTACCATCTTTTCCTTATGCCAAGTTCCAAATTCTAAATTGCATGCTAACTGTAGGGGCAATAAACTCTGCCAAAATTTTTACTGTTTTAAATACTAACATTGTTGAATACTTAACTATATTTCAGCCTTCAGGCTACTGCCTTATATTCATTAGGTTATTTAATTCTTAGAACAACATTATTCTATAGTCAACCATCATTTTAAATAAAGTTCTCAGTTAACCTAATTCATTACTTTCTAATGAAACCACCAGGAAATTAGTTGCTATGCAGTGACAGGAAATATACCTACATAGTTACTTTAGTGTGTTAAAATTGGAGCACTGACCTAATAAGCAGACTTGGGAAAATCCAGTAACAAGTGTTGACACTTACAGTGCTATATCATTGAAATTTTCATTTTTCCAAAACTCACTGCTGTAAGTGCTTAAATGGAAAACTATCTAAAATTTGTCAGAATTTAATTTTGTTCCTTCAAGTAGGTAGAGTGAACATACTTTAACCTTTGGCTCACTGTGCATTTGTGTTCACAGTTTCAGAGAAACTGAAATACAAACTCAACTGATTCTTCTCTTGTGGGTGATCCGTATGCCTATCTTTTATCAGATGCCCTCTTTCAATCTGTGGCTTTTAATTTGTTTTAGTCTGGGAAATTAAATGATCAATCTTGCTAAATTGTTTGTAACTTGAAAATAAATTTAATAAAAGTTTAAGGATCATCAAGCACTTAGTGCAAACTTATGGTACAGCATTTACTCAATGTCATAAATATTTCTGAAATCTCTGTTTATCTGAGTTCCCAGTGAGCAGGACCATTTTGTCATCATTTCTATTGTTTTAAGCATTTTATTTATTTGTTTTTAGAGAAAGGGGAAGGGAGGGGGAAAGAGAGGGAGAGAAACATCAAAGTGTGGTTGCCTCTCACATGCCTGCAACTGGGGACCTGGCACACAACCCAGGCATATGCCCTTACTGGGAATTGAACTGGCGGCCCTTTCGTCCACAGGTCAGCACTTAATCAACTGAGTTATACCAGCCAGGGCCATTTTGTCATTATTTTATTTTTAGGTTTTACTGCAATTACAGGCACCTGTACTCAATAAATGTTCTAATATTCTTATATTATAGTCATTTTGTAATTTTCTATAATCTTCATGATTAAAACTTTAACCTGCTGTGTAAAATTATTCATGTAGTCAACAAATATTTATTAAGTACCTGCTATGTTCTAGGCACTGGCATATCAGAGAACAAAATCTGTTTATATAATGTATCATTCTTTTCTCCAATCATTTTTCTGCTGGTAATTCAGATTATTTACAGTTTTTAGCTGTTAGAAATAGCCATATATTGGAGCATATCACTTTTTTCTTCCATTGCTGTCACAAACTCTCCAAAATGGAACAAGTAGATCATGAATTTTAGTACTGTTTTAATGGTCTTAAACTCATATGGCTAAATTATTTCCCACAAAGGTTATGTGGTAAATTCATAATTTTTGCCAGGACCTCAATTTGGCAGATAGATTTTTTCTTTTTTCTTTTACCTTAATTTATTATATTTTAAATGAAACCCGAGTCAAACACTGTTCCTTCTATCTGCTGTTCTCAAATTATATTTTTTGACTGTAGTCTTTGCCAATTTATGACATAGGATACTTTTTGCCCCAATTTTTATGAGTTTTCAATATACTCAGGTTTTCTTTATCTCTAACCTATAATTAGTTATAATATGTACATCAACTTAATATTGACTTTTCAGGAGAAAAGAAATAGTGCTACCATAAATATAATACATCAACTAATAGATAAATCTTCCAGAATTGTTAATTTTTTTACAATTATGGTCAAATATACATAATCACCTTTTGACATATGCTTCCACCTTTTGGGTACTGTTCACACTGCTATGAACATAGGTATGCAAATATTTGTTTAAGTCCCTGTTTTCAATTCTTTTGAGTATGCACCTAGAAGTGGGAAAGCTAGATCATGTAGTACTTCTGTGTTTATTTGTCTGAAGAACTGCCATACTGTTTCCACAGCAGCTGTACCATTTTATATTCTCACCAGCAATGCAAAAGTGTTCCAAATTAGAGCCTCAAACAAAGGGTATATAATATTTCAAACACATGGAGAAGTATAGAAAGTAATAAAACAGAGACCTGCAGGCTGATCACTTGAATTTTAACATGTTTATTTACTTAATTTCTTTTCAAAAATTTATGTGTTATATCTAAAGTTCCTCCCTCACTCATTCCCCCTTTCTTTCTTCAGAGGTAACCACTATTCTAAAGATGCCTGTGTATGTTTTCTTGTGAGTTTGGGTACTTCATCTTTCTCTCTATGGTATTATTCTATAATTTTACATAATACTTCCATAATGCATGTGTTTTTTTATAGTTTGCTTTTTAAGAACAGATTTTATTAATTTTTTTAGAGAGAGGGGACAGAAGGGAGAAAGAGAGGGAGTGAACCATTGATTGGTTGCATCTCAATGCACCTCCAGCCAGGGATGTGGCCCACAACCCTGTCATGTGCCCTGACCAGGAATTGAACTGGTGACCTTTTGATGCACAGGCTGGTGCTCAACCCACTGAGCAACACCAGCCAAGGCTAGTTTGCTTTTTTATTCAAAGTGTTTTTGAAATGTTCCAAGCTTTATTGAGGTGTAATTTACATACAATAAAATTTACCCATTTCAACTGTACAGTTTGATGGATTTTGGTAATTGTTATGTAGTCTTGGAACCACCAGCATATTGGGATTAGACCGTTACCATCACCCTAAGAAGTTTTCTGTCCTGCCTTTGCAGGCAGTGCCCTGCCATGGCCCTCCCCACAAGCACACTGATTTGCTTTGTCGCTGTAGTTCTGCCTTTTCTAGAATTTTAGATAAATGGAATCATGTAGTATATTGTCTTTTGGGTTTTTACACTCTTCTTTTACTTCTTTAAATTTATTTAGTTTTTGAGATTTACCCATATTGTTGCATGCATTAATATTTCATTCCTCTTTTTTTTCTGAGTGGTATTCTGTAGTCTGGCTGTGACACAATTTGTTCTTACATTGACCATTCAATGGACATTTGGGTTGTTCTATTTTGGACTATTATAAACACCACTGTGAACATTTGAATGCAAGCCTTTATGTATACATGTTTTTATTTATCTTGGGTAAACACCTGGGAGTGGAATTACTGGATCATAGAGTACATACATGTTTAGCTTTATAAGATATTACCATGCTGTTTTCCAAAGAGTTTGAGGTAACATTGTGTTTGAGATTTATGTGATTCTATTATATTAATGAATCACCATTTATTTACCCACTTCTTTACTATTACAAATAATATTGCAGTGGGCATATTTATAAACCGTTTTCTTGCCCACATACGAGAGCTTCTCTCTAAATAACGCACATCTGCAATAGGAATTGCCGCATTCTAAGGTACACTCATCTTCAGCTTTGATAGACATTGCCAAATGGCTTTATAAAATGGTTAGGCATTTAGCTGATAAAGCTGCTATACTTTCCAAATTACTGCATACTTACATTGGTGCTTTCTATAGAGTTTTTCTTTTGTATCAGAGTATTTCTCAAAACTTGCTCATGCTGTTACTATAAACCTATTTTTTCTTTTGATTGTCCTTTATTTTTAAATAGGAGATTCATATGGAACATTGTGTGAATCTGACTGATGAGTCTATAGAAGCTGTCATTACTCGCTGTCCTCAGATACGTATATTACTGTTCCATGGGTGCCCCCTGTTAACAGGTTAGTATGAGAAACTGCTCAAGTTCAAATCCTGGTTTTATCTTTTAATAACTGTATGACCTTGAGTGGAATTTTACCCATTCCATTATTCAGTTTCCTTATCTGTAACATCAGTATAAGCTACCTCATAAACTTGGTCATGATGATTATCTGGCAACACTATTCATGGTGCAGAATACATAGAGAGGGCTTGGTAAATGTTAATCATGGTGGTGGTGGTGGTGGTAATGATACTAAACACAATGCTTTATGGGGACAATAAAAAGTTTATAATATTAGATCTACCAATAGGCTAAGTGACCTGTTATCTATAATCACATCAAGCTGTAGCCATTGAGATTCAGAATAATTTGTAATGTAATACTTCACTGAAGGAGAACAAAGTAGTAACAACTCATTTGGCCTGTATAGGAGCCAAGATATCACCATGCTCCCGAAACCACAGCGCCTCGCCCCCTTTGTATTACTCCTACCCATGCCAGAGTGTAACCCGGATCTCACCTCTAAGTCCCAGTCCTTCCAACAGTTACTCTCTAGACTGAGTTACCATCCCAGAAGTCCTTTTGACAACTTCTGTGTTCTGTTGTTGTTGTTTGGATTGCTGATATAAACCAAACCTTTAATGGATTATATTTGATTATCAGTGACATCTATAATGGAGGTTTTAAAAGGGTAGAAATGATGATTAATGAGAAAGAATATGCCCTGACTGGCATAGCTCAGTGGGTTGGGCATTGTCCCATGAACAGAAATGTTGCCTGTTTGATTCCCAGTCAAGACACATGCCTGCGTCGTGGCCAGGTCCCTGGTTGGGGACATGTAAGAAACAACTGATCAATCAATATTTCTCTCACACAGCATTGATACTTCTCTCCCTCTCTTTCTCCCTCCCTTCCCCTGTCTCTAAATATAAAAGAATAAAGTCTTTTAAAAAAGAATTTTGGTGAGGACTTCTTCGAAGAGTGCTGCTGTTTGACTTTTCACCTGGAGCTCACCAGGAGCTTCAGCAGGACTATTGGGTCCTGACATGGCCCTTGCACAGGCCAGCTGCTGCTGCGTTAAAATCAGCCTGCCCTCCCGGGATCTGAGGGCACATGAGTGTTGCTCACAGACCAGATGTGCGCATGATAGGGCGGAGATCCATCCAAGGCTGACGGGTGCAGGGGTGGGGGGATTGGATATTTTCCACCTTAAAATGTAGTTGGATATTTTATAGTAAGGATGATCAGAAAGTCAGAGTGTTACCAAAATGTTCATCCAGAGCAAGGGAAGAATGATCACTCAGTGAACGGAGACAAAGGAAGACAAAAATAGAATTGGTATCAACATTGTACTTCAAGAGCTGTGCTTGTTCAACATATGAGTTAAAGCACCATTATCTAAAACTGTCATGATATACTTAGAAATATTTTTAATCACAATAAAGTAATAATTATGACAAAAATAGAAATACCAGAAAAATATCAAAAAAACCATTCTCATGCCTATAGCCGATTAAAGATTACTTCTCATTTCTACAGAAAAAGAAAAAATATTTTAATATTCTGATTTATTCGGAGGTCATAACACCTGAAAACAGAATACAGTACAGCAACCTAAACTGATTCCTAATACTGAGGGACTTACCTAGCTGTTTCCTACTTCCAGGGGTTCGTATTTGGCAACTTAAAGGGCCTGTTCAGATTGCTTATTTTAGTAGAGCTGGAATTTATAGCTTTATGGACATGGCATGCTGGCAAATTCACATGGACTCTTTTCTACCTCTGTAACTACCAGAGTATATAAAAATAGTCCCAAAACAAAGCAGCTTCCTCTGAGAGCAGTCGTTCACACATATTGTTGAACAGTTGTATTCATCTGAAAGCAATGTCTCATGGTTTATTCTTTGCAAGAAATAATGTTCTGATGATGTTGACTTATGTGTGCATGTTAAGGCATGTTTTTCTCCTTCCCTCTAGTATTTTGTTTTTATCTTCTCTCTAAAAGATATGTGCTAGAACTAGATTTCAAGAAGACTCTTCGATTTTGTACCTGTACTTTGTTTCAAAAGAAATTCTATTGTTTTTTCTTTGTAGTCTTAAGTTAGTAATGAAATAAAATAACCAGTTATAGTTTTTAGCAATTAATACTTTATGGCAGCATTTCTCAAGTGGATCTCAAGACCCATTTACACTCTTAAATATTGAGGATCTCAAAGAGTTTTTGTTTATGTAGGTTATATGATTCAATTAAAAAATAAAGTTGAGACTTTAAAAATAGATTTATTAATTCACTTTTTAAAAACAGTAAACCTGTTACACAGAAAAGGGAGGAGCAGTTTCATTCAGATCATCACTTTTCAGACCATTATGGATACTCTTTTTTGATATTACCCTTAATTCATCAAGTAGTAATTTTTTTAAAGATTATTGCAGTGTGGAAGTTGAAAATATATCAGTGAAATTTTCACACACTTATTCATTTGATCTGTCTCACATTTTGAATAGATCTTTTACCCATATATGATTCTGTAACATCTAGGAGTTTGGAAAATATTGGCTCTCTGAGTGATTTCATCACAAAAATACTGTGTAGCTTTGAAGATACAATGACAACTACGAATTTTCCAAACTTCCCCTGAAAGCTAAAATTTTATCATTGGCAACAAACAATCATTTGTTTTTTTTGAAGTGATAGGCTTATTTTGCTCTTTTTCAAGAAGCAGTCTGCCAAATATCCAAGTCTGAATAAACCTTAGGTTGTTGGAGGTTCTTTCAGTCAAATAAAGTGACTAGTTCAGCTCACAATCCTGAAAGGATCTTGAACTGTAAGATCTGTATATCATACTTTGATAAACATTGCTTTACAGTAAAGAAAAATTATCAGTCAATCCCTTTCAAATCTCTCTTTATATTTTCATGTGGCTTATGAAGCAGTGGAAGCAGACATTGAAGTGGCAGGAACTCAGAATATTTTGAATATAATAATAATATTTTTGATCTGGAAGGTAACTGAATCCAGCATTTACCGCCTGTATTACTGTTAAATAAGTGAGCTATTGGATGGCTCTATATGTTGAACCGGTATTGTTTACTTCTTCACTGCAGACTGGTTCTATGCACTCAGAAGCCCTCTGGTACCAAACTCAAATTTTCACTCATCCATATGTTTCAGATATAATCTAAATAAGCAGGTTCTTAATCTATCCATATAGAGCCTGGCTCCTTTGCATACCATGAAAAAATGTACTCAACATTTATTACCCATAGGTAAGATAAAACCCAGGGCTATAAAAGACCCCAAGGTACTCTTGACCTTGGCGCTCTCTAACCCAGAGACTCCTTATTTTGACACTACCCTACTTTTGAGTGGTGTTCCCCAGTAGGCCCCAACACACACACACATACACACACACACCCTTTTAGAGGGCCTCCTCATGTGAGGGACTTCCTTTTCATACAAACCTATCAAAGCACAGCCCAGATAAAGTTTCTTGTGTTTTACTGCCACCTTGTGGTGATATTTTTTTCTTTGCTCTGCCCCCAAATCCCTGGAATTCACTAACAACAGATTACATTCATGGTATGATGTTCTAAAAGACATCAGAGGTATAGCATAAAACAAATGTTCATATGTCAAAAAAGTTTGGGGAATGCAACACACCACTATAGTAAATATTAATTTATCAAAGGCTCTGAAAATACTGTAGCTAAGAAACTTAAATTTATTTATCCAAGAATTTCTCAAAAATATTTTAGCACAGAATACTATGGTATATTATTTTTCTCCTTTAAAAGATTTTATTTACTTATTTTTAAAAAGAGAGGAAGGGAGGGAGAAAGAGAGGGAGAGAAACACCAGTGTGTGTTTGCCTCTTGTACGCTCCCAAATGGGGACCTGACTCACAACCCAGGAACGTGCCCTGACTCAATCAAACCGGTGACCCTTTGCTTTGCAGGCCGGCACTCAACCCACTGAGCCACACCAGCCAGGGCTATATTATTTTTCTGATCCCTGACTTTACAGAATAGGAAAGTGAGATACTGAAATGTTACTTGCCTGTCGTGACACAGGTTTTAATAATAGTACCAAGACTAAACTAAAACCTGAAGCTGTGGTGAATGAGCACCCTATCCCCAGTTTCCTGCCATCTCTCCAAATGTTGAATAACTTCTCTTTTATGGACTTCAACTTTCCCTTATGTATAATTTTCAGTCATACAGTTGGAGGATCTGATAAAATGCAAGAGTTTATACACAATGTTCTTTTATTATTAAAGTTTCTTAAAGAGAAAACGCTAAAGTTTTTCAACTACTAGATCATCTGTCCTCTCCCTGCTTTCCCATCAGCACAGCTACCATCTATATCTTTGCTGCCATCATTGAATGAAAATAAAGTGGGCAAATATATTCACCTTATATTTAATTCATAATATTTTTCTGTAAAGAAGACAAATGCTGTTTGTTTGTTTTTTTGGCTTGAGAAATGAAAATTTTAGCCCTGGCTGGTGTAGCTCAGTGGGTTGAGCATGGGCCTGTGAACCAGGGAATCGCGGTTCGATTCCCAGTCAGGACACATGCCTGGGTTGCAGGCCAGTTCCCAGCAGGGGACGCACGAGAGGCAACCATACAATGATATTTCTCTCCCTCTCCCCTTCCCTTCCCCTCTAAAGATAAATAAATAAAATCTTTAAAAAATTGGAAGTTCTTTCTTCTTTTATGACACTGTATATAGCATGCCCTCCCTTAGATTTATTCTTAAGTATTTTTTTCTCTGAAAATATTTTTAACATGTTCACTCTTGTTTATGTATTCATGTGTTTGCTCATATATGACTATGTAAGGCGATACAAAGGATAGTTTATAGAAAGAATATATTCATGTACATATGTTTGTACAATTCTGTTATTACATTATCTTCACAGCAACCTGACCCCCAAATTTGGCAGTGCCCACTGTGGTTACCCATCCCAGATTCCCTGAATTAACAGGTTTATCCTCTATACTGTATTTCTAAATATT